TAGGGTGTGTGTCTTGGAACTGAGATTTCTGGTGCAGATTGCAGCTGGCTTGACAGAGGGAAGCAAGGATTTATTGAAATCCAGTTGGTTTTCTTGGGGGAAAATAAAACGTAGCTATGCTTATTATTTTTAAAGAGGACCTTGAGGATTTGTCACAGCTGTGTGTAGGCATTTCCCAAATGCACACTGAGAAACTTCTACCATGTTTCTTTTTGTGTGGGTCTGGGTTAAATACAGCAAACTGGACTGACTCGAGCTAGTGAAGCAGATATTTTAGCTGAGTAGGAAAGAATGTACTGTTCAGAGACCTTTTGTACTTACAGGCTTGTTCTGTGATTAATGGTGTGTGCTGTGAGCTGTGACCCATTAGGAAAGTGCTGAGCAGGTAGTGGGAATCCAAGGAATTTGGACGGAGTCGCTTATTTGTGCACTGTGTGTACAATACAAAAATGCCAAGCTCCCAGGCAGGTTCATTCAAACCATCACCTGTGCTTTGTGTGGGACCACATTTAACCTATGCTGGAGGGGGATATGACACGAGCTTTGGTGATGCTCGTGTGATAATGCAGCAGTGTAAGTAGGCAGTGCAAAATTATAATCTGCTCCAGTTTTAAATAGAAAAGACTGAGAAAAAGGCCCTTGATCCTTTGCTCCATTGCCATCTTCTGAGTCACTGCAAAGTCATGACAGCAATTTCACGTGTTTTGCTTGCTGGCCTTTGGCTCAGTTGTCCATTTCAGTTTGGATGGAAAGTGCTAGAAAAGAGTTGTCCTACTGCTGGGAGAAATAGGTGGTGTGCTGTGCTGCTTATGGGTGGTGGTAGCTGGGGTTCTGGATGATGACTGAAGAACCTGGGGTTTGCAGCTGTGCACAAGGCTGTGTTTGAATGCCTCCAGTTGTGTTAGCAACAATTCATAGATTTTAGTCTCTGGGAGTTGTTATTGCTGTTAGAATTGCTTCTTTTGTGAGGTGAGAGAGAAATGGGTACAAGGTAACGTTCAACAGAAAGCACCATGGGGATCAGACCTCTTTCAACCCCTGCAAGCAATATATAAAGTAATAAAACACTCCCAGAAGTTCTATAGATGTGATTCTTCTAGGAGAGGTTGGATGCAGTGCAATTAAGCCTGTTGCAACCCACGTTATTGCTCATCTCTACTGCTGCTGCTAGAAGTGGGGCTGCTTGTGGTAAATGAGGCAGTGGTGGGCATGGAACTTCAGCATCAGGTAAACCATGGGTAGTGCACCTAGTGCATGTATAGGCTGTGCTTTACGTGGGGTTGAGTGATGTATGTGCCCCTGTTTTATTTCTAAGGCCATCAGTTTGCTGACTTGCAGTCCAGCTGTTTCACTTCACGATGAGGTGTGTGGTGTAATGAGACAAAGCCCTGGCACGAGGTAAAGGCTTAGAAAATGTGAAATCTGGTAGCAAATAAAAGGCTGCAGTTATAGTGTAATATTTCTTGTGGCAGAGCTTGTGTCATCTCATATTGGACGTGATGACTTCCATCACAATGCAGCCATTGGAACAGACATTGGTTTCCCTGCCTTGGTACTGACCTGCCCAGTTACTGAGATGAGGCATGCTGAAGATTTTGGCCAGTGAAGTTTATGTAATTTATCCAAAAGTCACTGTTTTATTTTTTGCCCAGTGGAAAAATGGCTGGAAACTGTTCTATTATCTTTAGTCAAACTATAAGTAATCTATTATTTGGCCACGTGGAATGGAAGGTGAAAAACGCAATCCTTTTCTTTCCCAGCATGATTTTAGGAAATGAAGAGGTGCAGAGATCTTCAACCCAAGTAATTAGGATTTGTGGTCATTACACAATGTATGAAATTGCTTTCTGAACTGGGTCACTGGTGGAAGAGAGAGCAGCATGTCCTGAATGCATGTTGTGGCAGGGATGGGAGAACTGGGGAGTGACTGGGCTACAAGATTGCTTTCATCTTGCTTTGTAATACACTGAGGTCAGCCTGCTGCTGGTATTTCTCACCCTGCAGCCTGTGAAATTTGTGGCATCTGTCTTGTAACGCAGTGCCTGGGTTTCAGAGAACAACACATGCAGGTATCTGATATCGCATATCCAAAATAAAATTGACTGCATATGTTCAGATGGGAGCAACTGCTGGCTGGTGTGTTGTGATTTAAAGGGACAGATTTGTAGGGCACAGTAGTCAAGAATGGTCAGCTGGTAGGTGCTCCTTGCATGTATCCACAAGTTTGGCATTTGTTAAGTTGTAAAATGTCTCATTTAAACACCAAGGACAAAGGATGTCACAGTCCTGGTGTAGGGATATGCTGTACTGTCACTTGTATGATTATTCTTGCAGAAAACTCTTGAAATAGAAAAGTAAATGCAGATATGTATTTATCTTTTTCATAGCACTGACACGCTGTATTCATCTGCTGGGGATGATGTTTTGTTTAAAACATGTGGGAAGGAGGTATTCTTCTTGCCAAAGAGTACAGGCTGGCATTAGTTCGTGTTCTCAACTCAAGAAAGAGATTTTTAGTTTTCCTGGGGATGTATTTCTTTATTCATCTTATCAGTCCTCTTCTATAAACGCTGGAAACGTGTCCAGAATGCTTGTGTAGGAAATGAGCAGCAATCCACAATATCCTTGATCAAGCTGTAGGACTGACAGCCATTTGCTGCTGTGCTCACTGTTGGGCAGAGTCCTGCTCCAGCAGCAGCAGCTCTCGTGGAAGCAGTGAAATAGTGCTGTCATTGTGATTTGCACAGAAATAGCACTTGATCCTGGGTGCTATGTCTCACTTGGTGGGTCAGGTGCTCGAGTGGTCTCTCCTATTACATAGCTCCTGTTTTTTTTTTCTTAGAGAACTGGACAGGTGGTCAGCATCCTCTCTGCTCAATAAGAATGTCCTGAGAATGTTTGAGAACAAATAAGTGTTGCTTACTAATCAGTGAAGCACTTGGAATTAAAGGTTGTGTGTATCCTGTGCTAACCAGGTTCCCTTGGCACTGCCAGAGGGAATTATTTGTGTGTGAGCAGGGTGGGGGATGGATCCCAGTGGGGTTCAGGGAGGCAGAGGGTGAAGAAACTGCTGGAACTAACAGGCAAATCAGTGGGAGGGTTCAGCCTTGCTAAAGAAGCAGTTCCAAGCAATAGCCCAGATTAATACAGTGTGAGTCTGGTTGACTAATTCATCATTTGTAGGGATTTTGAGGGTTGGCAGTATACACTGAGTTCTTACTAAAGCAAGAAAGCGTGCAAAGCTGCAAACATCCTGACCCTGTTAATTGCTGAAGTAGCTGCAATGAAAGTACAGGAAATCAAGCTCAGTGTATGGGACAAAATGTCTTTGGGATGGCAAAGGGCTGCTCATCTATTGCTCCATTGGAGAGGAATGGAAGTACATCTAGAGGATGGGGTGCAGGTGGGTTTAAGGGGAAAACACTTTCTGTTCTTACTATCTTTTCCTTATGTGAGAAATGAAGCAGGAAAGATTCCCCTCACAGTTGCAGGTATTTGCTCCTGGTTAAGATTTAGCAATGCTAGAGTGCTTTTGGACACACAGGTGTGTGGCCATGCACTGAAAGAGGGTTTTCTGTGAGTTAACAGCTGGCTGATAAGGTTCTGTATGTACAGGTGGCTCCTGGATGTGGCAACAGGTGGCTCGAGTACTTGATTGCAGGTTGCTCCCTGTTAGATCTCAGATTTAACTCTTTTATTCCCTCTATGTTTTTAATTTAAATGGGATGTTTGTGGAAGATGTTCTGATTGTGCTTGGCATATTGGTACCCAGGTGGCCAAAGCTCTGGATGTTGATTTCAAGTAACTTGAAGAAGAAGCAGAGCACAAAAAAGGGGAGGCTACAAAGTAGGATTTAGGGATTCTTCCCTCTTTTGCTCCTGACATTATAAATCTTCCCTTTTTTGACATGTTCAGTTAGGTTTGTCCCAGATTCCACACTTTCTGATGTTCCAAGTTCATGTGAGGTTTATTTTCAAGCAAAACTTTGAGGCAGCTCATGCAAAGCAAAATATTTTGGTTTGGGTCAACAGAAATATTTTTTTTAACCTGAAAGCAGTGTGTTTTTTTTTTTTAAAGGTTCCGGCTGTTGAGTGAAAATTAAAGCTGTGCCAGATTAATTGGGATATTTTTTTCTGACAGCATGCTTAGAATTCATGCAGCTGAATTGTAGTTGCTCTCTTTAAGTACTTAAGTTCTGTCACTCTCACCTAAAAATCCATCTTGATGCAGTTTCATCCAGGAGCTTTTGAATAATAGGGGATCCAGTGGATCTGGATGGTGAATCACTTGTGGTGTTTGTTTTTATGATTTGGTTTCATTAGCAGAATTTTGCAAGGCTGGTCCCAATGCTGCTGTTCCTCCCAGTGCATGATCCCTGGTTTTGCCTCCTTAGCATACTCAAGCCTTCCACATAGCATGTATGTTTATCCTAGTCTGAATCTGTCCTGCACATTGTCTTTGTGGTGTCTCTGTTGTTCCTGGACCTTGAGACCATTCATCACCCACTGTGCCATTTTGGAAGCAGCATCGCCCTACAAGAGCTCCCTTTTGTCCAGCTTACACCCATATGAATCTGAGCTAGAAAACCAGCTAGCCTCCCAGTTCTGGTTCCACTTGATGCCACTGCCTCTTTAGCTTCTCCTCAGTCCCTCTCCTTCGCTGCCCTTTCTGTGAGCAGTCAATGGGGACGACAAATCCTAGCCTTGCAGGAAGGCTGTGCAAGCCTGAGTTTGCTTGCTCCCTCCCTGCACGGGGTGGGCTGTCCAAGCAGGAAGGTGGGACGAGGGGAAAGCCTGTCCAATTGGCTTCTACAGAAAGTTATTATTCCTTCGTACCCTTGTCATTCGGTTGATTTGCAGCAGCAGCATATTTGGTAATATAAACCCTGTCCCTTGGGATTATGAGTGCGGTGATGCTTGGAGCAGCTGCCTGCACATGTCTTATCTGCTACAGAAAAAGAACATGCTGCTGCTGCTCCTCCTCCTCCTCCTGATATTATCTAGTATCATTTCTTCCCTCCTTCTTTGTCTCTCTCTGACCTCCTCACAGCTCCACGTCGCTCCATACTTGCTTCGTCTCTTAAGAAGACCACAGCTGAGTTTTCCAGCACAGCACCAGGAGAGTGTATGAACCAACATTAGGCAAAGAGGACAGAAAGCAAAAAAGGGGGAGGGAGAAATCTGAAAGTGAGCCGAGCTGTTGCAAGCAAGCCTTGGTGCCAAACCTGCTGCTTTCAGAGACCAGGAGGGGAGGAACCTTGTTTGGTGGAGAGGGGAAGGACAAAAGAAACTTGAAACTGGCTTTCCTTGTGGCATGTCAGTCCTGAACACCCCCCCTCCCCACCCCCTGCTCGTTAAATGAAAGCACCTGAGGAACACGAGATTGCCTGCGTGAGAGGGAGGGCTGGTGCTGGACCGGGTGAGGGAGCAGAAAGGCGACTTGTGGCTTTGTGGTGTGGCTTACACTGAGATCAGAGCTAGCGTGCCTGGGGGTGGGAGCAGAAGGAGAAAGGGCACCTGATGCCAGCTGCCAATATGACAGAAACCCTGCAGCTCCCTGCCCTGCAAGTCCCAGAGCAGCAGGTGGTGGAGGGCAGCCGTGCCTGGTCCAGCTCATCCACCCCCACCCTGCGCAGGAAGCGCTTCAAGATGAGGCGGATGAAGAATGTGCAGGAGCAGAGCCTGGAGGCCAGCAGTTATCAGGATTCTCCTTCCTCCAGCAAGGAATACCTGCAGCTCCCATCCATTGAGATCACCCCCTCCAGTGATGAGGACACTCCCTGGTCCAACTGTTCCACACCCAGTGCCTCCCCGCGCCGCAAGCGCTTCCTTCTGCGGAAGTGGCTGCGTGTCAGAGAGAAGAAGGAGTGCAGTGAGAGCAGGTAGGTTGGTGGCCATCTCCCTTCCCTGCTCCCCTGACAGCCCCTTGCAGTGGGTAGGGCCTGCTGAGCTTTTGGTGTGGCTCTCCAGAGGACTTTGTCCTCACGCAGTGGATGGAATGGGTAATGCGATGGGTTGGGCTCGGTGATGGTGGATCAAATGGCATCGTTTTGTATGTGTGAACAGTGGGCATGTTGGAAACAACATCACAGCCCTTTATCGTGGCCTTCCTGTAGCTTTTCTAGACGATGCAGGTCGAGTGAGAAGAACTTGTCTGAGTGGGGGGAATTGTGCTTACAGATTGGGTGGTGGGACTGACTTCTGTGGGATGTCCTGCTGAGACCTTCATGAGAGAGGACAGTGAATCTCAGCTGGGATTACCTGGACAAGAAGTGATGCTGAACCCTTGCCGGTGTGGGTTTTCTTGCTGTTGGGTTGTTTCTGTGATGATGGTCAAATCTTTCACCTGACATTGTCTCTGGAGCTCTTCATTCACTTGCTGGCATTGGGTCAGTGAGGGGAGGATGCACACCGTGGGTCTGTGTGTCAAGATATCCGAATTCAACTCTTGGCTTTTTTCTAGACCTGAAAGTTGCTCCGTTCTTTGGTTCAAAAGCAGAGGACAAATAATTCCAAGACTCCCAAGGGCTTGTCAAGGCAGCAGAATGGATGCCCAGTGAGTTACTGCATAGACACGAAGAAAAAGCTTTACCTTATCGAACTGTGCAGGTGTGGCTGCTGTCTGCATCATACAGTGTAGTTCAGTCTGCTTTTAGTGTCTGAGGGGAACAATGTACCTGTCATGAAGGGCCTGAAAAATACAGCACGCTTTCTCTGTAGGAAGTTAGCACTTCATTAATCTTTATGCTAGCTTAGTGTGGGCTAACTTCTCTTTCCTTTCAGCCTATGGCTTTATGCCTGAATATAGGTGCTGTTTTCCACTCTGAGCATGCAGTAACTCTTTTTGCAGAAGTTCCCTTTGGCAAGCTTTGGCTTTCAGTCATTTATTTCTTGAAATTTCAGGGAAGTGAACGCATGCCATAAAGGCCCCAATAATCCCTCTCTTAGAAAAGTAGCCTTGGAAAACTTGGCTGAGGAACATTAATGACTTGTTTCACCTACCTGTGGTGATGTAGGGAGTGATACAGGTGATGGCGTTGGGAAGATGGGAAGGACAGTGCATGGGGTGGATGCTGAAGTGTCAGATTGACAAAATTAAGTTCTGGATTTCACCTGAGAACAGCTTTTGAGCTGAAGAACTTGAACTGGGCTTAGCAATAGTGAGTGATCGAGGCAGAGGTGAAACAGATTTCTTTGTAAATGTGTTCAAGGAAAAAAATAGCAAAAAACTTGAGCATATCTGTGTACACGTGGTATTTGCATGGCTGTGCTGAGCGACTCCTTGCTCATCTTCATAAAGGCATCTGTGCCTTAACCTTGGTTATGTTTTTGAAGTGCTGACTGGAAAAAAGCCACCGCAGCTGATGGATTAGTTGGCATTAGCATACCAAAGCCAGCATGGCACCTTCCTTCCAATTGTAGCAGGCTTCAAATCTGTCCCTTTACAATGGAAAACACATGATGTTTTCAAATGGTATTTTTCCCTTTCCAGTCCAGAGGGGAAAAACCCGACATGGTTTTGGTCACTGTGCTCCTAATAACTCAGCTCCTTCTTGCTGCTGTTTCAGAGTGGTTTGGTTCTTTGCAACAGGTACTGGTTGTCACTTACTGCACTGTTTAAATGCAGAAGGGAGTACTGTGGCTCCTGTGCAGCAATTAATTGTTATAATCTTGAAATCCAGCAGCCTGTACCCCATCACATGGCTGGATTTCCGCAGGGCTCTCCAGGGAGAGCTGCTAGCTGAGAGCAAGCTGAGCTCCAGCTGATGTGTTCCACTGATGCACGCACTGCTCACAGCCCTGAGCCACAGCAGCAGCTCCGACCGTGAGCATCCAAGTGAATAAACTCCATTCTATAAAATATTTTAGGATACCGGGTAGTTTTTAGTAGCCTGTATAATTTTTATGGCTGTTTACTGATTGCAAACTGGTGGTTGATAGTGAGAGCCAACGAGTGGCTGTTTGTTAAGCAGAAGGGAGTGTATGTAGGAGCCTAGCACTGCCTACACCACTGAAACAATGGGAAGAAGCTGTTTTCTGACATAGGACTTTTCCTCTGACTGATGACATGACCTGAAAACGTGATGGTCCAGACACCAGGATTACTCTGAGGGGCCTGTATGAATAACTGAATGGTTTCTTAAGTGATGCAGGAAGCTTCTCACCAGTGCTCCCTGTCTGTTGTTCGTCATCCTGTTAAAAAGAAAATCTTGCAAGTGGTTTAAAACTGGATTATTGTTTTTGGGTCTCAAGATTTGAATGAAGTGGGTTCTGTTCCACCAGAACATCTGTTTCTAAGATGGTGGAAAGGAAGAAATATGTTGGACTTAGGGAAATTGTCCAGGCAACCAAGCTTGCTCTGTGGGAAGTAAAGGAGAGGTGAGATGGAGGAGCAGTGGAAGTGGGCTCTGCAGATTTAACCATTAAGAGACATGGTTCATCTGTACTTACTGCTTGAGGAGGTGCTGAAGAGCTTTAGGTGATGTTTGGAGCCTCAGTGTTGGTGTGGGGTTTGAGAAACAGCTTTATGAATTCCAGCTGTAACGTTGCAGTGCCTTGGAATGAAATGAGAAGCTGCGTGCTGATTTCCTACGACTTTTAACCACTTTTAGTATAAAATTGCAATGTCTGTATATAAAGCTTTCCCCTTGTATTACTTCTCACTGCTGTTCTATCTCCTTATAATCATATTTAATATAACAGCAGCAATTTGTTGTTCACCATCTCAGAGGAATGCTCATCTTAAAAGCGGGTCAGCTTGCAATGGACTGAAATAATAATAATAAAACAATAGCTCTGCATTTCAGCCACTCTGTACTACTTAGGGAATTCTATGGCTGCACTTTCTAACATTCAGAATACTTAAATGACTTTCTTTTCGTGTAAAGGGCTCCCAAAATGGAAAGCTTCCATGCAAAACCCTTTTGTAATGAAGCAGGTGAGAGGGGAAAACTGATTTTTGTTTTTTTTTCTCTCCTACACTGAGTTTCTTGAATTTCTTGTCTTGAGCATTGGCCAGTGACAAGAGGGCAAGATGTTGCAATATCTGTATTCCATTAAACTTTAAACCTTGGGACTTCTTGAGTTTAAATGAGTGAGTAAGTATGGAAGGGTCAAAGGTGCACCTTGTATGACTGTAGTGAACCTTCAGCTGGGACTGCCAGCATTGCAGGAGTGGTAGTTGGGCTGTATTGGACTTCTCTTTCTGGTAAGTTCAGTTGTCTGCTTAATAGAAATGGATGTGGCAAAGTTTTGTGAGAAGGTTTTCATTTGTGAATATGAAAGAAGCCATGGATTTGATCCCTGCCATGAATTTAATTTCAGAAGGGTGGTGATGCTTCCTTGGAGTTTAGAGTAGAATTGTCTTCTCTTGCACTCTTCCCAATGTACGTAGCTCACTCAGCCATAGTTAAGCTCAGAAATACAGGGAAGAAGTTTTCTTTCTGGTTTAGGATATATTGTCACACAGCTGGATGCTAAAAGACTGAAACAATTTTGTTTAAATAGACCCATTGCTGCTCCATACAGGTGAGAACAGAGCCGTTGGTGTGAGAGGGGAGACCCAAAGAGCAGCCATAGATACAGAGGGCCCAAAGAGCTGCCTGCATCTCAATATCCTTGCAAGAATCTTTTGAGTGACAGATGAGGGTACAGCGTTGGACTTAATATGTACAGAATGGGGAGCTCTGTGGGAATTGTACAAATATTTGTATGTGAAATGTATGTAATGAGGGGCATTGAACTCTGAGGTGTGCATGCTTTGTGGAGAGATCCCCAGTGCTGTAATAACCCAGTGTTGGCTTCCTAAAAAGCTGTCCCTTGGTTTAGGGAACGTTCTTGGTTATGGTTTTTGGTAAGAAGTTGTTTCATAGCTTGAAGCCAATAAAGAGCCCTTGTTCTTGAGTTGTCCTTTCTGCTATGAGATGCATGGGAAAAGAAGAATGATGGAGTATGTGGGTGTGAGAACAGCAAGTGCAATCTCTCCCCTCTTGCTGTGTGCCATAATGCTTACCTGCCTTGGCTCCAATGGAAAAAACCACAGTCTTACAGTGGGGAAACAAGGAAAGTGCTCTTTGGGATTAAGAGGTTATGCATACATGTGGTGCATCCCCCATCGTATGGATGGAAATGCATGCATTTATGTGTATGTAAGCACACAGTTTAAACCTCCAGCCAAACAGCATGAATTTGGGCAACCTTTTTATCCCAAGTCCGATCTCAAAGACCGACTTCTGAACTGCTCAAGGATTTCACAAATGATTGGCTTTTCTTGTGAAATCTTCAACCTGTTCTTCTTTCTACCTTAACAACAAATGATTTCTTTTCACTGTGTGGAAGAGGACAGAGATTTGAGGGGTTGAGATCCCTAAAGTCAGTAAGGAGGCTCGTTGAGCCACTTATTATACAGAATTGCTGGAGAAATGCTGTCTAGTACCTGAGCATGTAGTTAACAGTGGCAGATGTATTTTCTAGCTCCTGGTGTCAGGGAAAAGCACCCTGTGTCTGGTTGGGGCTGCACAGTTTGTGGTAGGGCTGTGCTGCCCTAGCTCACAGCTGGGTACCAGGCTGGGCAGAGGAAAGCTAGCCCAGGGACAGCTGCTCTTTGTGCTGTAACCTGTTGTCTGTAGGCAGAATCAGACCCTCTGCAGGGTTTGGAAGGGAAGCTTTGCTAGGAAACAAGCTATAGAAACGAGCAGCAGGAGCTTGAGGCCTTGGCACTGGTGGAGGCTGGTAATAGAGAATCAGACCAACTCCATACAGTGCTGTTACAAAACCAACCAAACAAAACCCTAATAACACTAAAAACCCCAAACACCATAAAAGCAAATCCACAAAACGCTCCAGAAACCCCCGACCCGTTTACAAGGGAAGAGTGACATCTTGTGGGCTCAGCTTGCAGTTCTCCACCAAAAACGGAGCGGTCACTTCTGGCCACTTCAGCCTGAGTTTGGGCTCCTTTCCATGGCTGCCTTGCAGCCCAGACACAGGGGCACACAGCTCACAGGGTCTGCGAGCACACAGCAGGCTGGTAGTTGAACGTTAGGCTGTACAAAACCATTCTGGGTTGGTGTGATGAAACATGCAACGTTACTTCTGTATCTCCAGAAGTACTTAGGGAAGCTTTTCTAGATGAGATGAAGAGGCTTTAAACCACTCGTGCCTGTTGTACATCAGATACGAGCTTCTTTTGGTTTCTCTTTGCAACCTTAGTGAGATGAAGGATGAACCATTTTTGGTCTAGCTTTAAAACTGAAGTGTCTGATGGGGAAATCTGTCTTAATTGCTTGTCTTCTCTTGCAGCAGCCAGCAAAGCAGCCAGCAGAGCAGCCACGATGACGACTCGTCCCGATTCTTGAGCCCTCACACCCGTGACGACAGGTAGGGCTGGCAGCAGCTGGACTGCAGGGGGTTCCTGCAACCAGTGCTGATGGGCCAGACCTCACTTATGTTCCTTCTGTTTTTTGGAGTTATCTAGCAAAAAAAAAAAAAAGTCATTTGCATTTTTAAATGTGATTTAACAGGTCTTAGCGATGCATTTAATAGCAGAATGCGTGAGACAAATGCATCACAAGCAGCTCTGGTCCTTGAAAATGCATCTTGTCTTCAGCATAATATGAATGTTGGCTGTTTTATTCTACTTGTGATGTGTTGGGACAGTTCTTGGGTATTTTTTGCAAGGAGGGCAGGGAAGCACTGGCACAGGTTGCCCAGAGAGGCAGTGATGTCCCATCCCTGCAGACAGCCGTGGTCAGGCTGGATGGGGCTCTGAGCACTGATGGTGGCCTTTTTGAGGGTCTCTTCCAACTCTGTTCTGTGATCTGAGCTCATTTGTAGCAGCTATGATGTTCAAGAAGAAAAGTTTCTTGTGCTTGGGGTTGATTTATGACTGCTTTAAGCTGCAGCACTGGCACAGAAGCTGTTGAAAAATGAATGCTTATTTTGGTGTGTGATTTATTATTGTTACTCTGCCCAGAGCCATATGATTAAGAGTTTTGCTGCATCTTGTAGTTCATCTTGTGAGCCTGAAAGTGCTTCGTTTTCTTCTGTGCCCTGAGCCTTTCTGTCCTGGATTGGCTCCCTAATAACACCCTGGTTTAGATTTTAGATTCTATTATTTTTTTTATGCTGTGACCGTGTTGCATTTTTCTTTAATGTTGCAAATGTTGATCACAGCAAAACTGACTGGAGTGCGTGTGCTGGGAGTTGGGGAGAGCTGCCTTTGTGCTGCTGTATAGTGCTTCATGAGAAGCATCTGAGTGTGGTTTGTGCTTGATGTGTGTAGTCAATAGAGCTGTGCTCCTGCTCTGTTACTCATTTACCCACCCAAGCTATCCTTGAGGCCAAAAGCCCTTCTTACTGACTGCAGCAGGGCAAACTGTGAACTCAGATTCCCCACGGATGTCAAAGACCAACGGATTGAGTAAGGACTGAGTAACAGCTAAAGAAGCATCTGAGGAATCTCTCACTTGAGAGAACATCCCAGCCCTGGAGAGCTAATTAATATCCCAGCAGAATTTGACTCTCAATTACTACTTGGTAGTCACAGCTGACCTTCTCCTCCATATGTTTCCCACCAATTATCAGTCTCTCTGGAGCCTGGCATGATTGAGTAGTGGGGAGCATTGTTTGCAACTGGTAAATAAAGAATCTGACAGCAAAGCAGGTGGGTACTTAGATTATACCTGGGCTTTCTATATACATATTGCATGTTGCTGTACTAACTGGCCTGGGATTTCATAGGTTTAGTAGAGTTAGGTTTCCTTAGCACTCAGATGGGGGGTTTTTCTGGGCATGGCAAGAAGAGGCACTTCCAAATTGTTCCCAGGTTTCATATGTAGATTAAACCAGAGCCCTTAGCCTGGTGTTAAGAGCATCTTTGTGGCTGGAAGAGATGTGTGTTGGGAGTGCTGCCAGATCTCAGACCAGAGTGATGGTGAGCCTGCGATGTTCCTGCAGTCTGGATTTAATTTCAAGTCAGTTTTGCTTCCACAGAAGAATACTGTTCCTAAAATGACCCGTATGACCACACTTCACAAAGTAACTTCATCCAGCTTCGCTGCTGCTGCCTCCTTTTGGATAGCAGAGACTCCTGCTCAAGTCACTTGCTAAAAATATCTCAAAATCATTTCTGATTTCTTGTAAAATGTGAAGCTGGACATGAATTCAGCTAACAAAACTTTCAAGAGCTTGCTACCTATTATCCTTATTAGCAAAGTTGAAGGTTGTTTCTGAAGCATGGTAGATCTACCAGACTCTTGCATACAAATGAGGAGATGCTTTCTCACTCTTTAAGGTGGTGGTCTTGACCACTAACAAAGGTCCTCCACCCATGGGCTTTCACCTCTGTGTCACACTGGTGAAACCTACAGGCAGCTGTTTGCTTGTTTAATTGGTGATATAGGAGCTCTAACTAAAAATAACAAAGAGGTTTCATAAGTCCTGTAAGTGGTGACAAAAGCTGAAGAGAAGGGCAGAAGAGGGAAGAACAAGAAGTCTTGTGGTGCACACCTTCTCTTGGCGTGCTGCCTCTGGCATCTCAGGCAGGTGCACTGCAAGGATCAGAGCAGAGAGAGAGCAAAGATCAGCATCCACATCAGTTTGCCTGGAAAAGGGCTGGAAGAAGCTACCCCAGCTGAAATGAAAGGATGCTGAGTTGCTGTGTTGGACTGTGGGATTTAAAGTAAAAAATGGAGAGAAATACATAGCTGAAGATAACTGATATCTGGACTAGGCATAAGCAAGATCTTAGCCTGCATACTCTTGCTATGGATTATGGTACCAGGGAATGCTGCTCATGGAGTTTAACTGCTCTGTGATGGGATTCCAAGGATTGTGCTCCAACCCGTGGGCTCTTCCAGAGAATTCTCAATGTTTGCTCTGCTGGCAGATGCACTCAGTGTTGGCTAATGGCTCTGCTTCTTGAGTTGTGAGCTGTTTGTCAGCTGGTGGATTGTGAAGTACAGCCATGGTCCAGAACCCACACCCTGAAAAGGTGTCCTGCAGCACAGCAGTGAGGCAGGTCTGTCACCTGCACGTGTCTTCTCTGAGGAAGAAGCTTTCCTTCTGCAAAATCATGTAAGTGGTCGTGTGCATCATGTCTGGTTGCTAATGCTGAGAGGGAGCTGTACAGATTTGCTTTTTATGGTAAATATGTGTTATGTGGGTATTTTCTGGAGTCATGGAAGGGAAAAGTGAGGCTAGGAAGATTTAGTTTTTTCCTGAGCTTGGAGCTCAACTCCCTGCTCTCTGATCCGGGGTGAGTTTGGATGAATCATTTCAGTGATGCTGTCTATGAAATAAGGGGGAAGATTTTCTTACCTCACAGGAAATGGATAAGAGATGTTGGATTAAGCTTGTGGGTTGCTCAGGTACTGAAACATCACAAGAAGTGGTAGAGCTGAGTTGGTGTCCAAATAGCTGTACTCATAAGCAACTTAAAGTAATTTGAAGTGGGTAAGGTTGGGATGGAGGCAGCTGGAGACCTTGATATATACATATCCTTGTCTTGTGGCAACGATTAGGGAACTGTATAAGTTGCCTTGAGCTCTGGATTAAGTCTAAGGTCATGAGCCTGCTTGTGCTTGAACCAAGGACTTGTTCTGCCTTGTGGCATTGAGGTGCTTATCAGTTTTAGGATGCAGAGATGCTTTAATGGAGAGTTTAGGCTACTGAGCTGGAGGGGAAATCAGTCCTCAACCTTGTATGCAATCTAAGGAGACAAACTGCTAAGGTGGAGGCATAAACGTGGAAAGCATGGGGATGGAGAGCAATAGGGCACAGAACTGGGAGAAAAGAAGCAGTTTACCTCTTATGGGCCTTATTAATAAAAATGGAAGAAATGAGGAAAGCTACTTCTAAAATGTCCCAGCTTTTTATGCCCTGCATCTTAATTAGCCCCCTAGGCTGTGCAGTAACTTATTCTGGTAATTCTGGGGCTGTGGGTCTTGTTTTACCTTTGCATAATCTAATAAGAGTTTCTCGATGGATCAAAATTGAGGGCTTGCAGAAAGGATTGGAGAACAGCTTAAGAATGAGACAAGCTGAAGAAATTCTGCCATTTGAGTTTGCAGGAAGTTGTGCAAAGATCTGGAGGGAGGACAGGCATCTCTTGTTAGTGCCAACGTTGTATTTTAGGGGAATCTGTTTGAGAAGCTAGGAGAAATTTAGTTTTTCTGTAGTGTTCTCAGGAACTTGCTTATGCTGCACCTCCCTATCCCATGTCCCTTTTCCCCTTGACATGAGAAGTTGACATCTGCTGAGTCAGTTGGACTTGATGTTAAATGGACTGACTTTGGAGAAGCTTAACCAGAATGGCACGAAGCTCCTTCGTCATACAGGAAAGATGGTTAACATTTAGTCAGAATGTGTCCTCTCTGAACCCCTCCTCCTCACCTCCTTGCTGCTGATTGCTGGGCCCAGCACTGATTCTGAGCTGCAGAAGACAAGAACAACAGTGTAAGAGCAGCTCTCCTCCACTTGGGCTGCCAGATTTGCTGCTGTCAGCAGAGCTATTGTGAATGGAAACAGCAGCTGCCCTGTTCCTCATGCGCCAGCATTGTTCCTTCCTTTGAAGATGGGCTGTTGTTAATTACAGCGTGCTTGAAGCTGCTCTGGTGGATAAGGCGGGCTGCTACCAAGCAGCTGGAATAAGATGAATTTCTTTTTTCTGTGTTTAGCTGAGAAGCTGCTTTTGCACCTGGGTGCCAGCTCAGTGGTTCTGCCCTGGAGAGGGGTAAGCAGTCTGGGAGGAAAGCTTTCATCCCTTTTCCCTGAAATCCTGGTGTTCTGTCAGTGAAGAGAAGCATGTGTTCTGTTTTCCATTCTTACTCTTTCAATCTTAAGAAGGCTGATCTTGAGAGCACTTTGTGATTTTTGAAGCAAGGGGAATCCACCCTGTGCTTCCTCCTTCAGGACAGAGGGATGTGGAAGGACAGACGTCCTCTGCCTGCCTGGGGCCAGCAACCAGGAGGAGACCTCAGGATGAACTGGCTTTCTTGTGCCCATGTGCTCAGTTGATGCCACTGCTCAGCATGGCAGTATGAAGCTTTGAAGAGTTTAGAGCAATTGGCAAACTTGAGAGCAGGGTGATTTTATGCTTCCTATAGTAATGTAACACATCCTGCCTCTCTCTGTTAGCTGGTGGCTGCTGGTGAGAGGCAATTTCATTGATATCACAGATAGCTTTTCTACAGACAGTAGGTAGAGTACATTCAGAGTCCCAACCATCACTGAAAATAAATCATTCTTCTTAAAATTTGGCCCTCTGTTCCAAGCTGCTGTGGCACAAAGGTATCTGCCTGTTGCCCTTTTGAAAACTCAGTCAGCTCTAAGCTTTTAGCATGAGAGCATCCATGCAGATCAGTAGTGGAACTTCACAA